TGACTTTCAAAAGTTATTTTTATTTATAGCAGTTAATATATTTTTCAAAGTAGGATTTTATTTATTGCTTTTTAAGATATTTTCATATAAACCTTATACAAAATATAGCATATTCAAAAGACAAAAATCGTTTTTTTCATCTAGTTTTGATAAAAATTACTTTTATAAAAATATCAATAAAATGGCATTTTTAACACTATGGTTATTGTTTATTTTGTTAAATTAAGGTGTAGATTTATGTAATAGTTTTAATGGTTTAAGGTTCAATTATTCTATTGGTGTAAGATTAAGTTAATCAAATGGCTTAAAAATAAGTTAAGGTTATCTATGTAAATGACAACGAATCTAAAGCTAGGCTGTTCAACAAGCTATGTTAAACTGTCTAGTTCTTTACAGTGTGTGTAGATTTATGAATCAAAATTTACAAAATCAATGATCATAAAACATGTATAACAAAGTTAATATGACAATCACTCACTTATTACGCTCCTTATCGCTTATAATTAATACTTAACTTAACGCTGCTGCTCACCATTCGTGCACCTTTACACGGATTTTTTTACCATACTTGGCCTTTGAGTTTTATTATAAATTGCTTTACTTCTGAACTCGCCTAATGGGGCTCTTTCAAATCTTAATAATCTGTCAGTATCTGCTTAATCAGTAATGAGATCAAAAACTTTGTTTCATCAGCTTAATTAGTGATAAGATCAACAATTTTTATTTGATAACTTCTGTAGTAAAGGATGAACATTATGTTATTATTGAATTAGTAAAGTAACTTTTAAAGTCAGGTGATTTATTTAAATCATGCATTTTAGTCTTTTGTCAATTGTATTTAAATTTATTAATTTATAAAATTAATCTCTAATTTTTAAATTAAAAGACGACTCAAGAAGACGTTGCTCATTTCAAAGGTCAAGAGGTCAAACTCTTGATAAAGTTAGTGTTTAAAACACTTGCATCTCACACGGTCAACTCAATGTTACATGTTAAAGAACAAGATCGTTTAATACCTTATTTAAAAGAAGTTATAAAAATCCGTATAAAAAACCAGATTGTTTGATAGTTTGTTTTTGAAAGTTGTTAAACATTTATTACGAGGTATTTTAAAAAACAAAAATAAGGTTGTATTTGTAAAGTTTCAAATTTATATATTTTTCTTAATTTATATATTTATCTATATATGTGTGTTATTTATATTGTGTTTTATTGTGTATATATGTGTTAAGGTTATATGGGTTTATATTTTGTAAGTGTGTAATTATATGAAATGTTTCAATGTTTGTGGTGTGTTATATGTAATATGTTTATAGTTTGTAAGTGATAATTATGTTGTTTGCATGGTTTCAAATTGTTGTGACTGGGCTTAGTTTACAGCAAGATTGTTGACCTCGCTAGCCAAGTGGTGTACTTTGCTATAATGTGACCTGGCTTTGTTGAGAGCAAAAATATTGTCCTCGCCAGCAGAGTGGTGTATTGTCATAATAAAACACATAAATTAATTCTGTTTGTAATTAGTGTATTTCTAAAATGTGTTGAAAAAATATTGTTTAAAAAATGTGTTTTAATGTTGTTATCCTCTGTTCTTAACAATGTATGCTTTTGACAATAAATAAATTTTGTTAAAAAGCAGGCTTTACTAACAGCTCCTCCTCATTAAAATTTTTAAGAGTTTCGATTTTCTTCATTAAATATGTTTAACTCAAATTTTTTTTATATATATAAAAGTAAGTATACAGCGTGTTGAAGCATAAGTTTTAATAACTTTTGTTAAATTTTTAGGATTTTTTGTATAGAGAATGTTTTCTTTATATTATTATTTTAATGTTTTGTATGTACATCAATATATATATATATATATATATATATATATATATATATATATATATATATATATATATATATATATATATATATATATATATATATATGTATATATATATATATATATATATATATATATATATATATATATATATATATATATATATATATATATATATATATATATATATATATATATATATATATATATATATATATAGACACACACACACACAATAAAATATATAGAATTAAAATGTCTATACATATATTATATGTATAGACATTTTAATTTTTTTGCCTTAAATTATTGTCCCTTTTTCTTTAGAATATTAAATATCTAAAAAAAAAAAAAAATAGTAAAAGAAGTTTCAATATTTCCAAGTTTCTTCACTTGAAGCAAATATATGATTGTTTATAGAGGTTCTTTTAGTAGTTTTGTATTTATTTATTGCAAATCTTGCGTTAAATGCCTTTCAAAGTAATGAAAGGGTTTTGTTGATGGATGATTACATTTTATCCTTCCATGCTAGCAGTACCTGCTGAGTTGACAGGCCTTAAATTTTTTTAATTTGCTTTATTTATGAGTTCTTATATGTAAAAAATTTGTTTTTTAAATTACATTTGTTTTTTTTGTTTTTTTTGATTAAATACTTATAATATTTTGTCAATAATTGATAACAACTACCATAAATATATAAACAATACTTAGTTGAAAATATTACATTAATTTATAACTTTAGTTTAAGTTTTTAATAAAACTATGTTATCTTAACACAATGCTATATATGGTAGAATATAATAGATTATAGTATTATGCTCTGTATTATTTGCTTACACTTTATTTTAGATAAGTTTAAAAAAGAAACTTCAACTTTTATTATATTAGGCATCATTTTTACACACTCCTTTGATGCCTAATTATGTCTAATAATTTAAGAAATGAAATTATTAGACTTCGTCAAAATGAAAGAAGGCAGGCTAGGCGAGCTGAGATAAACCGCCGTCGAAATGAAAGAGATGAGCCCAGGCGAGCTGAGATAAATCGTCGTCGAATGGAAAGAGATGAGCCCCGGCGAGCTGAGATAAATCGTCGTCGAATTGAAAGAGATGAGCCCCGGCGAGCTGAAATAAATTGTAATCAAAATGAAAGAAATCAGGCTAGGCGAGAACTTAATAGGTATAATATGCATCGCATAGCAAGAAATAATATTGCTATAGAGAGTAACTACTTCGGAGAATTAAACCATAATTGTCAGTATTGCAGTGCAAAGAAGTTTTTAAATGAAACTCATTTTTTGTGCTGCCATTCAGGAAAAGTTGCATTAGCTCCTCTTTCTCTTTATCCGCCATTGTTGACTGGTTTAATGACAGGAAACCATGTTGATCATGCTGTAAATCAAAATTTTTTTAAACACATAAGGAGTTATAATTCCTCTTTATCTTTTGCTTCCTTCACTGCCGAAATAGCTCCTCCCTCAAATAATGGCCCTTTCTGTTTTAGGGTCTGTGGGCAAATTTTGCATCGTGTTGGAAATTTAAGGCCTGCAGAAGGTTGTCTGCCCAAATATTGTCAGCTGTATATCTATGATCCTAATGCAGCAGTGTCATTCAGAATGGAACAACCTGGTAATGATGGTTGTATACATGAGTTAATGCAACTCTTGCAAACATTAATTAATCAAGAAAACCCATTTGCTCTTGCATTTAAAAACATGGCAGAAGTAGAGGATGAAGAAATCCGCCTAGCAGCTTTAGAAGGTAGACCAACCTCTGTTGTAAGAATGTCTTTGCTTGAAGGTCATGATAGACGTCGATACAATCTTCCTTCCCATGAGGAAGTTGCTATTGTGTTTGTGGGAGATGATGGTGCTCCACCTGCATCCAGGGAAATTGTTATATACCCTCGAGGTCAGCCTTTAAGAACAATTTCGTCTATGTCTGCAAATTTGGATCCTTTGGTATATCCAATATTCTTCCCGAGAGGTGATGCTGGATGGCACAATCAACTAGAGCACAACCCTGACCGTGCAACCCGTGTTAGAAACCATGTTACTTTGTCTCAGTATTATAATTATAGGCTTGCTGTTAGACAAACTTTTAGTCCTATATTCTATGGTAAGAAACTATTCAGCAATATGTTGTTGATGCATATGTCAAAGTTGAGGGACAGCGCCTTGCTTTTATTAGAAATAACCAAAACAAACTTAGAAGTGAGCAATATGATGCATTGCATGAACATGTAATTAATCGTGCTAATGATCTTAATGTAAGACCAGGCCGTGTTGTTATATTGCCTTCTTCATATGTTGGTAGTCCAAGAGCATTAAAAGAAAACTTTGAAGATGCGATGGCAGTCATAAAGAAATATGGTAAACCAGATCTATTCATTACTTTTACCTGCAATCCAAAACGGAGAGAAATAGTAGAAAATTTAAACCCAGGCCAAACTGCTAATGACAGACCTGATTTAGTTTGTCGGGTATTTAAAATGAAACTTAAATTTTTCTTAGAGGATATTTTTAAGCATGGAGTCTTAGGCAAAGTTGTAAGTCATGTGCAGGTTATTGAGTTTCAAAAGCGTGGTTTGCCACATGTACATATTTTATTGCACTTTGTAAATGCTGATATGCTAGAAACAGCAGAAGATATTGATAGTTTGATATCAGCAGAAATCCCAGACCCAGCTGTTGATCCTGAACTTTTTGAAATTATAAAATCATGCATGATACATGGACCATGTGGAATTTTAAATCCCAATTCTCCCTGCATGAAAGATGGTAAATGCACAAAAAAATTTCCAATGTGGTGATAAATGAGCAAGTTAACCATGATGAAATAAACACGTTTTTAAATTGTCGCTATGTCTCAGCTCCAGAAGCATTGTGGCGAATATTTGAGTATTCTTTAAGTGATATGTCACATAACATCATTCGACTTCAGGTTCATCTGCCAGATAATCAGATGATATATTTTGTAGAAGGCGAAGAACAGGCAGCTTTAGACCGTGCAGCACAGCGTGACACTCACCTAACTGCATGGTTAAATTAAATGTTGAAAATGAACAAGCCCGACACTATCCATATGTTGAAATTCCTTACCACTTTGTTTTTGATAGCAAACATTGTAAATGGAAAGTTAGGCAAAGAGGTAGCAATAAGGTGATTGTTAGGATGTATAAAGTGAGTCCAATAGGTGAAATATTTTATCTTAGAATGTTACTTTTGCATGTTAGAGGTGCAGTTTCTTTTGAAGATTTGCGTACTGTTAATGGTACAGTTTTTAATACATTCCGAGAAGCATGTTCTCAATTAGGTCTGTTACAAGACGACGCTGAATGGAGAAATACATTAACTGAGGCTGCTGCAACTCGGTTGCCAAATCAAATTAGACAGTTGTTTTCCATTATTTTGACTTTCTGTGAACCTGATGATCCATTAAATCTTTGGAATGCCTTTAAAGATTTTATGATGGAGGATTACATTCACCATTCCATGCCACCAATAATTGCTGAGCAGGCAGCTTTGCATCAAATTGAATCTATAATTAATCAGAATGGTAAGACTTTAGCTGATGTTAATCTTCCTACTTTAGATGAGTTTTTAGATTATGTCCCACAAAATGAAGAGGAAGATGTTCAGGTTTTAATTGATGAAGCAAATAGGGTTAGACCATTGTTAAATGATAATCAGCGTCAAATTGCTGATGCTATCCTCTCTGCTCTTAGTGAGCAACCTAACAATGAAAACAAGCAGTCTAGATTGTTTTTTATGGATGGCCCTGCAGGTTGTGGTAAAACATTTACATACAATTATTTAATCGCTGAAACCAGCAGTAGACATATTATAACTGCAACAGCTGCATGGACAGGAATAGCTGCAACTCTTTTAAAAAAAGGATGTACACTTCATGGTTTGTTCAAACTTCCTGTGCCGATTTTGGAAAATAGCACATGCAATGTAACTCCAAATTCTATACACGGAAAATTCTTGAGGCAAGTTAGCCTTTATTTACTAGATGAGGCATCCATGATACCTAAACATGCTTTAAATGCCATTGATAAGTTACTTCAAGACGTTTGCAATAACAAGTTTCCTTTCGGTGGTAAAGTTATTCTTATGGGTGGGGATTTTAGGCAAATACTTCCGGTTGTAAAGAGAGGGCAACCAGCTGATATTGTTGAAGCCTGTATAAAATGTTCTCAACATTGGCAATATGTTCAGCGATTTTCATTAACAGAAAATATGAGGGCTCAGGCCGAAGAAGAGGAATTCTCTCAATGGCTTTTAAAACTTGGTAGTGGAACATTACCTTTAAAAGCAGATGGTTCCTTTCGCGGGTGCATTGAGATTCCTGAGCAATGCTTGCTTGGAGAAAATGAATTTTTAGTAGACAAGATTTTTGGAGTTGCAGAAGAAGATGATTATGCTAAACGTGCCATTTTGACACCCAATAATGTTGATTCTTTAGCAATAAATGAAGAAGTTTTGGACCGTTTACCAGGTGACGTTAAGGTTTATTTAAGTGCTAATACTATTGAAACAGATGATCTTAACGAAATCAATAATTTTCCTGTTGAGTTTTTAAACAGTCTTACTCCATCAGGAATGCCTGTTCATTGCCTAAAGCTAAAAATTGGTGCTGTTATAATGTTACTTCGAAATTTAGATCTAAAAGCTGGACTTTGCAATGGTACCCGATTGATAGTGCGTGCTCTACAAAATAATTACATTGATGGGCAAGTTCTAACAGGTGTTTCAGTTGGCAAGAGGGTATTTGTCCCTCGGGTTCAGTTAACACAATCTGATTCAAATTTACCTTTTACTCTTAAGCGTCGTCAATTTCCTGTAAGATTAGCATACTCAATGACCATAAATAAAAGTCAAGGTCAAACTTTTGACAAAGTTGGTATTTATCTCAAAAACCCTTGCTTTTCACATGGTCAACTCTATGTTGCATGTTCAAGAACAAGATCGTTTAATACCTTATTTTTTAAAATTGATGAGCATTCATTACAAGGTATGTCATTTAACAAATGCTACACAAACAATGTTGTATTTACCAATGTACTAAATCTATAAATAATTAATTTTTTACAATTAAACTCCTCATTTCTTATAAATATTTTAACTGTAATTTAAAGTATTTTTGTGTGTTGCTTGATGCAGTAATGTGTGATATTTATTATGTGTTTAAATATGTGTTAAGGTTATATTTTGTAAGTGTTTATGTGTAACTAATGTGTAAATGACTGTTATATGTGAAGTGTATTTTTTATGTTATCTGTTTATAGTTTGTGAGTTGTTATTATGTTGTTTTCATGGTTTCAAAGTGGTGTGACTTGGCTTTGTTTATGGCAAGAGTGTTGTCCTTGCTAGCCAAGCGGTGTACTTTGAATAATGTGACTTGGCTTTGTTTATGGCAAGAGTGTTGTCCTTGCTAGCCAAGTGATGTACAGACATGAAACACATAATATAATCTGTTTGTAATCACAAAATGTGTACTTATAAGTATGTTATATTTTGTAAGTATTTATGTGTAATTAATGTGTAAATGGCTGTTACATATGAAGTGTATTTTTTGTTATGTTACCTGTTTATAGTTTGTGAGTTGTTATTATGTTGTTTTCATGGTTTCAAAGTGGTGTGACTTGGCTTTGTTTATGGCAAGAGTGTTGTCCTTGCTAGCCAAGCGGTGTACTTTGAATAATGTGACTTGGATTTGTATATGGCAAGAGTGTTGTCCTTGCTAGCCAAGCGGCGTACTGACATGAAACACATAATAAAATCTGTTTGTAATCACAAAATGTGTACTTGCAAGTATGTTATGCTGTTAGTAAATAAAGTATTTACAATAAAGTCTGGATAACTCAATAAATCAACTTGAATAAATCAAACTAATTTTAAAATTCCAGTTGAGCGATTGTTTATGGATCATACTACCACTAACTGAAATATTTTCTAATAAGCTAATTGCTGGATCCTTTGGTGGTTTAAGTTATTGAGTCTTTACTGTAAGATTTTGTGCTATTTGTTATTGATGTTTGTGATGTTACTGTTGTGATGTTTTGTATTGATAGACGACTTGGCTTACCTTCACGTCGGTGTCTATCGTTAAAAATGATTATAGGGTTGTTTCATACTGAAACTGACTATATATAATCATTCACTAAAAGCCAAGCATTCAATTTTTATATCAAACTGTAAGGGTTTATCTTTTTTTGATTATTTTTAGTGTGCTTTTTTTGAAAAGAGTTTATAATCGAAACTTGCAACAAAAAATCTTGAAACCTTTACACAAAACCTATTCACACAAAAAAAACAATCTCAAAGTAAGTTTCTTATTTGATATCGCCTTGGTCACACTTTTGAGTTTTTAAATAAAAGAGTACATTAATGTGTTATGTTTTCAATAATTTTGTTTTATTTTTGTTCGAATGCCTTCTCTTAATGTTGATCGTTTTTTAACATCCAAAGGGAAGTTTTGTTAATCTTTATACCATTTACTAAAAGATATATTATAGGGAAACAAATCAAATTGATTTTATAAAGTACTTCTGATACTTTTTATGTTATATATAATAGATATTGTAAAATTTAAAAAAAAAAAAATTATTTTTTTAATTTTATCTCAAGAAAAATGTTTTTTGTTTCTCACACAAATTTGTAAATTTTTTCTCTTTGGAATTATAGTATTTGATGGATACATTGCTCATTTTGCTTTTTTTATATATATCTCCGTTATATATGAATGGAAACCGTTAATACTTTTATTACCATGGTAATTACAGATCTAGATAGTTCCATTACCATTAAGTATTTTACAAATTTTTGGTACAAATAATAGCTATAGTAGTTTAATAATTTGCTAATTTATAAACATTTAGAAAAATTTGTTGCGAGTTTATTGTAGAAAATTTGCTTTTCAAACAAATAGAGCTAATTTTTGACATAATTAGGATTCGTCACCTGATTCTTTGTCAAATACTTCTCCTTTTTAAATAGGAAAGGTTAAATTTTATAAAAAAGTTTGCCAAAACACTGGGAGAAATGTCACGTAATTGGTAACTATGTTAAATACACTTTTGTTAGGTCCACGTAATTTTCGAATCTGCTCATCACTACGTTAGATGGCGTTATTTCTTTAAAATACCTTAAAAATCTTCAATTCAAAGTTTTTGTTTCGAATCATCAAAATATTGGCATATGATATAAATATACGATTCTAATAAACCAAAAGTATGTGGAAAAATTGCGCATACTTAGGCATCATAAAAACTTAATTCACACCAACCATTTACTTCGATATTTTTTAGTGTATGGCAGAAAAATAAATTACGAATTGTCTTAGATAAATAAAGTTTCCGGACCTTTATTACTTAATCCATAAACAATTATTGTTTCATTCGATTTAACACCACAATAAAAAACAAAGCTTTTTCTATTTATTTTCGAAAAACGTTTTACAGGAAACCGAGTTCTTTTGTAGCATTTTAGTTAGAGTTATAGAAAAATCTATAACTCTTATTTTGTAAAAAAGTAAAAAAAAAAGTAAAAAAAAAATCTTATGCTCTTCTAATTTTAGTCACCAATAACAACTATGTTAGGAATAGTAGAAAATGTTATGTGTGGTAGAGAAACTGTTTTAGTGTGGTGTTGTAGGAGTACTGCGGGTCTAAGAAACTTTGTTTTCATCGATAAATTATTCTATTGGTCTATTAAAACAGTATGAAAACTTTCCAGTATTTATATTTGATGTCTTTTTTTCATTTTATTTTATAATTGTAATTTAAGTTTCAAAAAGCAGCAAAAACAACTTGAAAAGAACTATCGCACAATGACTCGCTTAAACACAGGATTCCAATTTCCTGATATACATGGAAATGCTGATATTGCTTTCACTATATTGTCTCTTTGTAATGTGTAACATCATTTTTACTTAGGTTTGCCAAATGAGTAGAATATAGTCCCAAACATATACAGTTCAGTTCTTTTACTGCTTTCTTCTTCATAAAAGCCGGACGTCTTGCAACCCTTGAATTTCCCCTTCTTTTTGTTTGCATAAATTACATAATTCTCTTAATTATAAATACTCCAAATCCGATTTTCGAACAGCGTATTTTAAAATCTAAAGAAATATAAGCGATTAAAGATTACATTTTGCAAGCCAACTGGATGCTTAAACAACTCAAAAGACAGCCACGCGCTCATTATAGCTCTCTTATAGTTTTAGAATCTGAGTGAGTTACTGTTTTGAATATCTAAAATCTTCAAATTAAGTTTTTATGATTTTAAGTTAAATTAGACTTAAGAATATGTGTAAGAATTGAGAATAAATATTTACTTTTTATTTTAGAAATGAACACACAAGAAAATTTAAACGGTATGTATTTATTGCATATGTGTGTTAGTGCTATATGCGCTTATATTAGATATTATATCTATATATCTATATATATCTAATATATGCGTATACAGCACAAACGCTATACTTTATTTAGTACGCATATATAAATATATAAATATAAATAGACAAACAATTTACACTCTTATAAACAGTGTTGGGTTAACTGATAGACAAAATAAGCACTGCTATCATATTTTATTTATTGGAAATAAATAAAAATATCAAGTAATTCTCTTTTTAGACGATGATGGTGACTTTTTTAGAAGTAAGTAAACTATAATTTCTTTAGAAGTAAACAATTTTTATTTATATAAAGTGATAGTTATAAAAAATTTATTTCAAGTATGGAGAAATCAGTAGCATATTTTTTATCAAATATTTGTATACTAATAGTAATTTGATTGTTGGTAATAGTTATATAGTTATATACACGCAGCTATTTAATAGTGAAATTTCATTATTATATGTAAAATTCAAATCTTGAAATAAGAAAAAAATCTTTATGTGTTTTTCAACTAGAAACTTGGAATTTATTTTCTAGACCAGATGTTGTGATTATTATATTTTCTAGACTAGATATAGTGCTTTATCATATGATATGCTAAATGTATATATTGTATTGTGTGTATATCTTAGATGCGCAGGAGATAGTGGCAGAAGAGGCAGAGTCTTTTCTGCCTTATTTGAAAGAATTCTTAGATAATCAAAGTTAGCATTTTCTATTTTTTCTTTTTTACTTCAGTTTTTTCGAAGTTTATGTTACAGTAAATAAATTTATGAACTAATCTTTCATACATTTTGTTTATTTAGAAAATTTAGAAAGTAGAGTTAGTAAGCAAAATTTCATTATATTACTTTTATGTATATTAAATAAAAAATAATGAGGTTGGCTTTAGTAATTTGTTCATCTATTTAGAAAAATTAGAAGATTTACAAAAGTCCATAGGTGAGTAAAATTGCTTTTATGTTTATTATACACCCTAAATATTTATGTACATCTAATATTAAATGCGTTTTTTCAATTTGAGATTAGTTTTGGACTTTGTACTTTTTGGTCAATTTTTTTAGATATCATTTTAAACTACATTTGTAAGTAACTATATTATGTTTTATGTCTCATAAAAGTTTTAATAAATAATATAATGTAATCACTTATATAGTGACAAATCCAACTTCCTCAGTAACGTATGTTGTTGTACTCACTTATACTTGACTTAATTTATGGATTAATTGGTTTTATTGCATTTTTAACTTTCTTTTATTTATCTCTAGCTGCTGCTTCTTCTGTTACAAGTAAGTTGTTCTATTCACTTATACTTGACTTAATTTATGGATTAATTGGTTTTATTGCATTTTTAATTTTCTTTTATTTATCTCTAGCTGCTGCTTCTTCTGTTACAAGTAAGTTGTTCTATTCACTTATACTTGACTTAATTTATGGATTAATTGGTTTTGTTGCATTTTTAACTTTCTTTTATTTATCTCTAGCTGCTGCTTCTTCTGTTACAAGTAAGTTATTCTATTCACTTATACTTGACTTAATTTATGGATTAATTGGTTTTATTGCATTTTTAATTTTCTTTTATTTATCTCTAGCTGCTGCTTCTTCTGTTACAAGTAAGTTGTTCTATTCACTTATACTTGACTTAATTTATGGATTAATTGGTTTTATTGCATTTTTAATTTTCTTTTATTTATCTCTAGCTGCTGCTTCTTCTGTTACAAGTAAGTTGTTCTATTCACTTATACTTGACTTAAATTGGATTAATTGGTTTTATTGCATTTTTAACTTTCTTTTATTTATCTCTAGCTGCTGCTTCTTCTGTTACAAGTAAGTTGTTCTATTCACTTATACTTGACTTAATTTATGGATTAATTGGTTTTATTGCATTTTTAATTTTCTTTTATTTATCTCTAGCTGCTGCTTCTTCTGTTACAAGTAAGTTGTTCTATTCACTTATACTTGACTTAATTTATGGATTAATTGGTTTTGTTGCATTTTTAACTTTCTTTTATTTATCTCTAGCTGCTGCTTCTTCTGTTACAAGTAAGTTGTTCTATTCACTTATACTTGACTTAATTTATGGATTAATTGGTTTTATTGCATTTTTAATTTTCTTTTATTTATCTCTAGCTGCTGCTTCTTCTGTTACAAGTAAGTTGTTCTATTCACTTAAACTTGACTTAATTTATGGATTAATTGGTTTTGTTGCATTTTTAACTTTCTTTTATTTATCTCTAGCTGCTGCTTCTTCTGTTACAAGTAAGTTGTTCTATTCACTTATACTTGACTTAATTTATGGATTAATTGGTTTTATTGCATTTTTAATTTTCTTTTATTTATCTCTAGCTGCTGCTTCTTCTGTTACAAGTAAGTTGTTCTATTCACTTATACTTGACTTAATTTATGGATTAATTGGTTTTATTGCATTTTTAATTTTCTTTTATTTATCTCTAGCTGCTGCTTCTTCTGTTACAAGTAAGTTGTTCTATTCACTTATACTTGACTTAAATTGGATTAATTGGTTTTATTGCATTTTTAACTTTCTTTTATTTATCTCTAGCTGCTGCTTCTTCTGTTACAAGTAAGTTGTTCTATTCACTTATACTTGACTTAATTTATGGATTAATTGGTTTTATTGCATTTTTAATTTTCTTTTATTTATCTCTAGCTGCTGCTTCTTCTGTTACAAGTAAGTTGTTCTATTCACTTATACTTGACTTAAATTGGATTAATTGGTTTTATTGCATTTTTAACTTTCTTTTATTTATCTCTAGCTGCTGCTTCTTCTGTTACAAGTAAGTTGTTCTATTCACTTATACTTGACTTAATTTATGGATTAATTGGTTTTATTGCATTTTTAATTTTCTTTTATTTATCTCTAGCTGCTGCTTCTTCTGTTACAAGTAAGTTGTTCTATTCACTTATACTTGACTTAATTTATGGATTAATTGGTTTTGTTGCATTTTTAACTTTCTTTTATTTATCTCTAGCTGCTGCTTCTTCTGTTACAAGTAAGTTGTTCTATTCACTTATACTTGACTTAATTTATGGATTAATTGGTTTTATTGCATTTTTAATTTTCTTTTATTTATCTCTAGCTGCTGCTTCTTCTGTTACAAGTAAGTTGTTCTATTCACTTAAACTTGACTTAATTTATGGATTAATTGGTTTTGTTGCATTTTTAACTTTCTTTTATTTATCTCTAGCTGCTGCTTCTTCTGTTACAAGTAAGTTGTTCTATTCACTTATACTTGACTTAATTTATGGATTAATTGGTTTTATTGCATTTTTAATTTTCTTTTATTTATCTCTAGCTGCTGCTTCTTCTGTTACAAGTAAGTTGTTCTATTCACTTATACTTGACTTAATTTATGGATTAATTGGTTTTATTGCATTTTTAATTTTCTTTTATTTATCTCTAGCTGCTGCTTCTTCTGTTACAAGTAAGTTGTTCTATTCACTTATACTTGACTTAAATTGGATTAATTGGTTTTATTGCATTTTTAACTTTCTTTTATTAATTGGTTTTAACTAACTATAATATAGTTAAAATAATTCTAATTTTCCTTAAAAAACTAATTTTTTTGTCCTTTGGAGGTGGTTCTGCTATTTAATTAATTGTTGTGATGTTTTATGCAAATAGATTTAGCTCACATTCATGTTGGTCTGTCAGGGTTATGTAAAAATAAAAAAGTAAGTTTCTTATTCGCATTTTTGAGTTTTCAAAAGTATTGATTGCATGACATGTTAGTTTGTAATTAATGTGTATGATTATGATTATGCGTTTAAATAACTTTGTTCCATTTTTAGTTCCGTTTCTTATAGCTGACTTGATTATGGCTTACCTAAAGCTTAATATTTATGAAACAATGATTCAATTTAAATTGTATTATAAGTAGCTCTGTTGAATAAATTTTTTTTTTGTAATTTGTACTAAAGGTTATATTTTTATTTTATATCAAGAAAAATATGTTTTTAAGTAAATATCTATATTTTTTTATTTTGGGATTTATTGGTTTAAATGGATATAAAAATCATTTTTGCTTTGTCTTTCATATTTCCTTTTATTATATATGAATAGGAACCATTTATGCTTTAATCACCATTAGCACTCGAAGTTTCCATTTGCATTAAGTATCGATTTTTGGCACACACAACAGGTTTAATAACTTAGGCAGTAAAAACAGCTTGAATGATTTGTTAAGAGTCTTTAAAGAAACGCTTTTACGAAAAGCATTAAATAGATAAAGCTAACTTATTTAAAATAATAAGTCTTTAACCCGTTTTTCTATATCCAAATTTACTTTTTAAATAAATGTTGATGAAAGGGTAAAATATCGTTATAGCCTACGTTAATTTTAAATTCTTTTTAAATTAAAGGAAAGAGTTTTGATACTTATTTAAATAGGGTTAATAAAATATTTTAAATTATATTATATATATTATATTTAAGAAATTATTAAACTATATTAAATAAGATTTTTAGATGAAACAGTAAAAATAATTGTTTAAAATACGTGCGTGCAAATAATTCCTACAAATACTAAACGTAAAATAACGCTTACAAACACCAAAAGTATGTTTGCAGTGAATAAAGTTAAGTTCAAAGATAAATAGGAAGAAATGTTTAAAACTGTTTCAATGATAACATTTATTTTTAATTACTTTTGTTGTAAGTTGGGATGAAAAAAAAAAGTCACTGGAGTATGAACTCCCGGGGTAAGATGACTATAAATGTCTGAGTGTTGCGCGTCTACCAATTAGCCCATAAACGTATTTTCTATTTAAATTTAAGATTATTTATGACGCATAAGAAGTGTAATTAAAAATTCAAAACCAAGTTTGCAACAACTGAGTTTAAATAAAATCTAATTAGGTGTGTATATGTTATGAACGTTAACTAAGGCGTACTTTAACGGCGTCACGTGTTGAATGTTTTAGCATTTTTCTAAGTTCGTAGTCTTTTTTACGTTTTTTCTTATTAAAATTTTTATAATCGGCATAATATTAAAATCGTTTGAAGTTTTTAAAAGAACATTTTAACAGAAATGTTTTTGTCATATCAAAAAGTAAGTATAGTTTTTTATATGTACATTTTTAAACGGTTTTAAAAAAATATTGAGGTAAGGAATAAGTATAGAAAAGGTCGGTGTAGAATAGATTTACTAAGACCCTTAGTTTACGTCCGGATAGCTATAGATAAGTATAAAAATGGTCGGTTCGGTAAAGACCCGTATTTTACGGGTCACCCCAGCTAGTTATTTATTTATTAAGATAATAAAGTTTTTAATAATTTACTTTTACAGTTAGAAACGAGTCATCCAATAGATTTTGTTCAAGTTCCATATACTCATTAATCATTGTTATCACGCCCGTATTATTGCTAGTTAAACTGTAAATTATTGTTATCACGCCCGTATTATTGCTAGTTAAACTTTTCTCACTGCAGCAACTGTTGTTGCTCATCCATCGAACAACGTTTTGTTGAAACGAAAGAACTGCTTTTTTTTAACTCTACTTTTTTAACTCCATTTTTGTCGTATGAAGCAAACAGTACATAAACTATTTTAAAAATCATAAAGAAAGTTTAAAGAAGTCACTATTAAATTTAATTTTAAAAAACAGTGTTCAAGATAAGCCTCTTATAATATTACTGGTAAAAGTAAACTGCAAATATATCAAAATTAAGTTTATTTTGTTTTCCAGGTAACTTGTGACGTAATTCACTATCATCACTTTCCGAATCAGAAAGAACAGGCCTTTTTGCATTGCATTTTTTGCATTATTTTCCTCTTGAGTTAAAACGTGAGGGTGTTTGTGGTTAAAATACGCTCAGATCAATGTTTTTTTCAAATGCATTTTTGTCATTGCTACTATCAGCTGCTGTAGTGTAGTTGCAAGTCATGCATTCTTGCTTGTCAGCTAGACAAATTATTTAGCAAAACCTTCCATTTGATACCCGCTGAAGGTGCACAAAAA